ACAGCTATAAAATAAAAATTGGGAATGCATGGAGAATTAGGTCTGCTGGTTTTACCAAGGACCCACTGGTTATATCCACTAGTCAGTATATCTGGAAACAGGGAGCTAAAGCATGTGCATGCACACTGGCTTTCATTTTTATAAAATTTCGTTTATAATAATGTAGATTAAGGATAGGGCCACAATATATTTCATACTGAATTTAATATAAGTTAACTTTCTGGGTCAAAAACTGAAACTGAATTTTCAGAGCTGATGATATTTAATTTAATTTAACACCTTTCCTTTTAGAGTTTGAAAAATTGGTGATATTTTAATTCCCATATATTGATCCTACAGTTAGGCATGTTGCCACCAGGGGGTGGTAATGTGCTGCCATCTTTTGGTTATAAAGGCAACCTGATTGCCTTTGATTTTCAAAATGGTGACATGAAGCTATCCCATAAGATAGGACTTGTAGTCTTTAAATAAAATGGTCTTCATGAGTTCAAAGCCAGCCTCATCAACTTAGCAAGACCCTAATAAGCTTAGTGAAACCCTGTATCTAAATAAAATATTTTTTAAAAGGGGCTGAAGATGGGCTCAGTGGTTAAGCACCCTGGATTCAATCCCTGGTATGAATAAAAGAATGAATTAATTAATTAATAAGTAAATAAATAAAGTTGTCTTTTCTTTAAACAAATATATATGGCTAATTCTTATAGAACATTTTAAGCTAATTAAATTTCTATTATGCAATTTCTTTTTATTAAGAGATACTGACTTCTATTTCCTTTAAAAGATAAGTATTTTTATAAGGAGAGAAAGATCATAATCCTACCCCTATCACACCATGGATGGTCATTTTAATTTTCTCCATTTTTAAATAAGATTATATTAAATGTGTATGTATAGTTAAATCCAGTTTTGCTTAACAGTTATTATTTTCTCAAGTTGCTAAATAGACTTCATAATTAATGATTTAATAGCTATTTTCAAGGTTTTCTAGGGCATATATACTATAATAAAACAATCCTAAATATAATTTATCACATATTGAACCTACTATATTCCAGGCATTTTAAATATATCATTTCTAATCTTCACAACCTTGCTAAGCAATTTTTATCTTCATCGTATAAATGAAGAAACTGAAAAGTTAAGCATTTTCCCAGGTAGTCAAGGCTAGACTGACATTCAAATTGACTCTAGAGTCAGTACCTCTGGACTAATTATTTAAATATTCCTGTTTCCTAGAACTCAGATTACTTCAATTTCTCACTTTTATAAAAAATGATATAGTAAATATCTTTATCTAATTTTCCTTTTTCTCCTTTGATTTTCATTTTTGCAAGGCATTACTGGAACAAGACTTTTTTTTTTTTTTTGGTGGTGCTGGGGATTGTACCCAGGGCCTTGTGCATGCTATGCAAGTACTCTACCAACTAATCTATATCCCCAACCCCAACAAAATATTTTTGTATGTACTTCTTGGTATATATTAATTCCTAACCTTTTAAACTCACATTAAAATTTAAATATAAAAATGTTCAGCTTTCTGGACCAAGGGGTGCTTCAATATCAAAGCTCCTTAGGATTTACTTGCTTCCTGCAGTAAAATAGTCTTAATTGAAGCTATGTCATTGAAGGTTTTTGGATTTTAGGGTCTGTGAGTGTAGAAGCAATGCGGGAGCCCAATAGATTGCCACAGGTGAGAGAAATCCTTCACTATAAGGAGTAGGATCAGCATGAATGGGTAGAAGTTGCAAGGAGGAAGGTTTCTGAACCAACCTAATAACCATTTCAGAGTAGAAGCTTTCCAGAATTGGAACTGGTCACTGAGAAAGGCTAAGCAATCCTGGTTCCTGAAAGTGTTTAAGTGCAGACTGATTACTAAAAGAAGATTCAGGTGATCCTAACATGTAACTGCAGCTGAGTACCATTTTGGGGGATTAACCGTTCTCAAATTCTAATTTGAATCAGAATCATGTAGGACTTAAGGAAAATTCAAGTGTGGAGCTGGGGTGGAGGTGTGGGCAGAATTCAGAATCCTTAGTTTCAGCGATGAATCTACTTTTAAAATGAGTATCTCAAGTGCTTTTCTTTCTGTTATTTGAGGATTATACTCTGAGAAACCTATTTTAAACTTAAGACATTAGTTGCTACAAGGGGAACAAGAAAAAAAATTAAAAGTAAAAGGTTAGAAGATAAAATCTGTTGCAGCTGTATTTTTTTAGGTTCTCAGTAACCTGCCTGCATGCCCCTCTGTCATATTCTCTAGAATTCCAAATGCACTGCTAAAATCATCCTTCCATTTCTTTCTTACATGATTTGTTTGCTTCTTGGTTTCTACTTTGCTGTCATTATTGGACCAAGAATGAAAAATAACTAATGAACCCTGTGAGCAACAGCAGGGACTGTGAGAACCAGCTACAGGAGAGTGAACAGTCACTAAGGTCGGGATCACATCAGGACAGCCCTGGTTGTGTGTATGCGTGCATGTGAGGCCTGAGCATCCCCACTCTCCATGTCCACACTGTGACAACAGCACTGACTGACCATGGCCTTCTTTCCCCAGCTGAGACTTGTCAGAATATGTCATATTTAGGGGCTGGGGTTGTGGCTCAGTGGTAGTATGCTCGCCTAGCATGCATGAGGCACTGGGTTTGATCCCCAGCACTACATAAAAATAAAGACAATAAATTCCATCAACAACTAAAAAAAAATTTTTTTTAAATACGTCAGATTTAGTATGAGAGCCATGATGTATTTACTGTTAACGTTTTAGGAATTACTAGGAATCAGGGAAACCCCCAAAGTCAAGGCGAGGAAAATGTTGAAGAGAGTATTGAAAAACCTTTTCACATGAAGTTTTTAGAAAGATAAATTACATCCATTTTGTGTCTAGTTACTTTATCATTTACTTAGCTTATTTAAATAGGTTACATATTCTTTCCTATGTAACCTATGTATTCTATTTATCAAGAGGTTGTTAATGAAAGGAATCCAAAAACTATGACTATGGTAGCATAATTATGAACCAACCAGGTAATTATACTGACCATCAGTATTTATTAAAGGGCTTATCGTGAAAACAGTAGAAAATCGATTGAGTTATAAATTCTTTTTCAAGAGTATCTGAACAAGATGTTGTTCTTAGTAGCTGCCAATGATTCAGAAGTTCCTAAAGGGGCTGGGGTGAAGGGGTGCTAGTTATTTGGGCTTTTATTATTTAGAAAGTGAAAAACATGAGAGTTTATTATACTGGCCTGACAAATGTCATCTGTATATTTGGATGAATAGTTTTCTCTCACTGGCTTAGTTTTTTTTTTTTTTTTTTAATCTAGGGATGGAAATATCTACTTTTTTTCCAGGGGGAGGGTGTTGAGTGACTTATCATGTCACACTAAGCATGTTAAGCCAATGAAAATACATGGCCTGTAACTCTTGCCTGGTATTTCCTTTGGTATCATTTGTGTGTGTGTGTGTGTGTGTGTGAAAGCTTGTTAATTCTTGAGCTGATATTTGAAAATGCAAGGGAGTTGGCTCAAACTAAAGCATCATATGTCACAAATTAAAAAGAATCCACACTACGCATTTCTGTAAATGTGCATTTTGGACATTTTGGATGTTCTTGTTCACTGTAAATTACCATTCACCATCCCCTCCCTATCTCAAGTAGTTCAGTGAACAATCTGCCCATCTATACCTAAAAGGCAAGAGTTCTTTCTTTCCTTCTTGGCAGGAATACTTGGAAATTTTAAACAATTTAAATATCAACTGCCTTATGTTCTTCTTACCCTTTCACGAAATGTCAAACATTCATATTTTCAATACTAATGAACAACCACCAATTGTTTTAATTTCATTATTTTCTCAGCTGAAAGAGTGCTTACAGAGCACAGAAATAGCTAAGCTTTCTTTTTATAGATCTCAGTGGTGATTTTAAAACAAGTTTAGACTGAAAGAAAAAAATACTGATTTTTTTCCCCTCTGAGTAGAATTCTCTTGATTAAACTGGCCTTCATTATCTATCCATCAGTTGAAAAATAAGATCCTAGGAGAAGATCTCAAAATCTAGGGCTTGTGAGGGTTTTAACAAGCCATTTGCTGGTCTCCAGGCAGGACTGAATTCTATTTGTACTGACAGCAATTCTACCTGTTCTTAAAAATAGCTAGCTCTGCCACCTTAAATGGTAACAAATTCTAGGAGAGATGGTTCGGCTTTCTGACTAGTATCCAGGCACAGCACACAGTGTACCATGGCTCAAAACCAGAACTGCCATAATTTTGAAATTCAACCTAAATGGTAGCTCTTCCACCCACTTGCTACTCCACAGGAGGAGTGTTAAGAGATTTTGGAAATAACATTTGCTCTTCTAGTGACAGATTTCTTTTTTAGTTCATAAAATGACATTCTCTAGATTGGGATAAATAAATATGTCTTCCAAAAGGATGTAACGTTCTTCCTCGGCCCTAAGGAACAGTTTCAGATGGGGAGATGAAGGTTGAATCCTTGGGCCCTGTTGCTTGCTGTATTAGGACAGAGTGAGCCATGTGGGACCCTGGGCTCACACAGGCTTGTTTGGAAAGAACATGTGGGGAGAAGTGCTCCCACAGGAAAAGTGATCCAGGAACCCACACTTCTGGGGATAAGAATGAGGCGTCACAGTCAGGGGAAGGAGAGGGAAGGGCGTGCCAAGTGCTTGTTCTGTGGAGTGTAGTTTTTGGCTGTAGCTTCCAGAGCTATGGATTTCCTGACATACATTTAAAAAAAAAAAACAAACCAAAAAACAGGATCTCCATCACCTGAGTCATTTTTCCTAGATGTCAGTTGTGTACCCCTTTTGTTCAGAGACTGCTCACTCCAAGGGAGCAAGGAAAGAACTGAGCTTATAACTGTCAACATATGATAGGTACTTCTCTTTGTACCTAAAATTACTTTCTAATTTTTCTTATTTCTGTGCAAACAGCTTTGCTCTTATCTGTTTTCAGTGCGCTTGAGGGAACTGAGCACTTACCTGTTTAGTCTGTACTGATTATGGTACTCTCTTTCCTTCACTGCGTTATATTCATTTTGATACTTGAGCAGCTGTTCTCTCATCTTGGAGACCTCAGTGGAGAATGCGTCTGGGAAACTATCAGCTTGCTGCAGGTGAAACTGCTGCTGTTGTATTTGCTCAGTAAAATTTTTGGCATTCTGTAGCAGCTGGACCTCTGACTCTTGGGTGCTGGGTTCCAGGAAGACAGATTTGCACAATGAGAAAGGTATGCCCTCCATACCCTTGGTTGCTCCTGTGGGAGGCATGGAGCTGCTCCCATTCTTGGGTTCAGTTCACCTCAGTATTATTTGGGGGCCAAATACTACACTCCATGCTCAGGTGAATAAGGCTCAGCTGCTGACCTCAAGTTGCTCACCATGCAGCAGAGGGAATTGGTAACTGGAATGCCTGCTGACAAGTCCTACCACTGGGGTCTAGATCCAGACAATGGGAGATTGACAGAGAAAAGACTAAATTCAATGGGATTATGCACATTTCCTCTGACTTTGAAGAATGCCAAGACTTCCAAGGAAGGGGGGAAATGAGGGCAGTCCCTTGAACTGCCCCAGCAATCTGGCTTTCTTGAGTTCTCCTGACTTGATTATAGGAAGATCTTTGCCCTCTTAGGAAGAAACAAACTTGTAATGGCACTTTACAAGGAAAGTAGGAAGAAAAATTCCCCTGTAAAGTTATGGACAAAAATTATGGATTTTTAAAATCTTAACCCTGAAGCCTGTCCAAAACCATACTTGAACACCACAGAAAAGGAGATTCCTATTACTCCAATTATATTCTATGCCCTCGGCTCAATTTGGAAAGGGTGGACACAGAGGCAGATCTGGATGGATATAGAAATTGTACTTGGTCAAATCCACAGAACCTTCTAGAACTCACCAGTTTTATCATCAAACATGACTTATCTTTCTGAGAAACCCTCACATTAGCTACCCAAATCTATTCAGGGGCAAGGCCTGACCATTTTCTGTTTTAGAGTCAGTGTTCTCTTTGGGTGTGTGTTCTCCACCATCTTCAGGTTTTAGCTCATTTGCAGAGTGCCCCATAATTTGATCAAGGCTGTCTCAGCTCAAGCTATCAGCTCCACCCATTTCCCAAGCTTTAATATGTCAAGTGCCTAATGGCATCCAAAAAAAAAAAATTGCTATTAGCAGAATATGTTCCAGGTACTGTGTTGGGTGCTAAATAATAACTCACTACAGCTATGGTGAAAACACATATATAAATTCCACTAATGAAATTTAGACTTTTTTTTTGGTTCTGGGGATCAAACCAAGGACTCACACATACAAGGAAAGCACTCTACTACATAGTTACTGGGGTTATTCTCTTATAATTCAATTTTCTTGCATGCTCATATACTCAGTGAATCTAAAGTTATCTGCTCTTAATAAGACAGACTTCAATTACTAGACTATAAAGTATTGGATTTGGCCACAGTGTATGTTTGCCCAAAGAGTAGAGGAGGACAATGTGGTGTTTGGGTTCTAGTCAGAATGGAAATGACAATTCATCCATAAATTCTTGAATATATTTCAGCAGAAATATATTTTTGTGTCTGTAGGAGAGAATTTAACAACTTTTATAATGTGGTGTTTATGGAAAACTCAATCAGTTTCAATTTGGTACCTCCAGTCTATACCTGCCTGCTGCAACCCTAGCACAAAAGCAGAGAGTGTATTGTCTTCATGCCTTTAAAGACCCTTCAAGCAGTGGGCATAGGATAGAGTGGTTGGTGTTTACAATGGAGAGAGAGGAAACTTACGGGTCAAGAGGAGGTAAAATGTGGGTAGCAGAAGGGAAGTAACTATTTTGTAACATGACCTGGAAGCAGGAAGAAATAACACCACAGCCTTGCTCCTACATTGATATTTGTCACTAGGGCCCAGGGATCTGAGTTTGGGGGCAGCGGCCATTTGGGGAAGTCAAATCATTAAACCCTGCAAACTCCTCTGGCTCCAAATAAGAGCTATCCAGAGCACAAAAAACTCTGCAATATCCTTGTATCTTCAAAAAGATACAAGGAGGGATGCCCTGACATCTGCAGAGTCTTCTACCAGTAAAGTAGTTGAGGTACGTTGAAGAAGATGTCTCCAGATTTTTTACCTACAGCCTCCAAATTCCCGAGTCTTGAGAACAACTTACTGGCAGGCAGTGCCAACTCTGGGGGAATGGATTCTCCATGAGGTACTGGGGAGAGGAGCCAAGGCTGGGGGCTTCCTGAATAGAGCTGAGTTAGTATGGAGTGGGGTGCAAGTGAAGTTTGCACAGGGATGCGGGCCTGCTCTTCTCCCAGCCATTCACTCTTCCCTCATGCTTCCACCCTCAAAGTACCCTACAGACATAAGACCTGGGCATGTTAAGAACTAGGGGCATTGGTTGGGGATTGTCAGAAGAGGATGGCTGGGGACTGGGGGGATGGTGCTTTTGATGAATTTATCATACAAGGCTCTGAGGCAGGAGGAGAGGAAAGGAAGGAGGTGGCTTATGAGTGTTAAGAAACAGCAGCAGATTTGTTCCTCTCCTTGTTTCTCTACTCCCCTACGCCCTTGATTCCCAGTGCCTAATAGCAGGTACATGGAAAAGCTACTGAATCATCATTCTATGGAAGCTTCTGGCCTGCTGCTGACCTGGTCTTGACTAAGGCGAGTAGCCTAGCATAGGAGGAAGAGGTGAGAAGTAAAGACAGGCATCTTGGCAGATGTAGGCTGGGGCCATCATAGAATCTATATCGCTGAGTGGTGAGGAGAGGTGGGCAGGAGTCCCACAGGAGTGTTCTGCAGCACATGCTGTCAGCATGCCACCAAAATCCCCTTGTCCCAAGCTTCAGTATCACCAGAAATCACTTGGGTACCTCTATCTCCAGCTATAGAAGCTTGCTTGACTTCTCCAAGGGAAAGCTAGAAGTTCCAGGAGCAAATATCACTGGGAACAATCCTTAATCAATGAGAGATAGAAAAACTGGTGGTAAATATTCCAGTTTTGTTATCCCTCAGTGGCAGATTCTGAGGTGCATTCTTCATAGTCACTCAGAAAGTCCTCTGTGAGATTACACCCCAGTTGCCCACAGTGTAAAACCCACAGAATGACCCACCCCAACTAAACTCCTTTCCCAGTCTCACTTCCCCACTCTCCCATGATTCTTTTTTGAGTCATTTCTCAAACTACTTGAACTCAATCCGTGTCTCAGGGTCCAGCTTTAGGGATACTATCTTTGAACACAAAGATAAGTCCTGTTACAGGTAAGAAATATAGATATGATAAAAGACACCTCCACATTGGTAAAGAGCTTACCTCATCACGGTGTCATGCAGCAAGGTGTACTTGGCTTTTAATTCTGCCATTCTGGTTCCAGGAATTTTTCCCATGGCATGTAACTAGCAAAGAGAACATAAGGTCACCATTAGCCATCACCCCCCTCATGTTTAAGCAGGAAATAAAGTGACATATGAATATCTTACAAAATCTTTCAGTTAAACATCTGAGAGGGTACACATGAGGCAATATAGCTTACTCTAAAGATATAAGGTATTTAGAGAAAATAGTTCTATTCTGCCTCTAGTCTCTTTATTCTTGGACAAATCTTTTTGACTCTCCAGGCTATGACTTCTTCATCTGGAAAGTGAAATAACTGAATGAAATTCTTTAGCTCTAGAAGTATATTTCTAGGATTAGTAAACAACCTGAATATTATAGATTACTAGGATGATCATTTGTAAATTGAGTGAAGCAATGATTAAGTACCTATTATGAATAAATTATTCATTCTCGAAAATATTTTATGAGATAGGGATTATTATCTCCATTTGAAACTAAAGTTTTGAAGAGTTAAATAATTTGTCCAAAGTTACAGGTAAAATGCTAATTGAGACAGAGGCAGGATTTAAACCAGGTTTTTCTAGGTCAAAAAACCCAACATCGCCATCCTAACCTGATGAATGCTTCTGCCTCTAGTGTCAAAGCAGAAAGGAAACTATACAATATATACAGAGGTGTTAGTTTATTCCTTCTTTTATTTCTGGTAAAAAAAAATTGACTTGCTCTCTGAATAGCATGATAATTAGTTAATAACATCATAAAAATTAAACACCAAAGTTTTACCTTATTAAAACCACAACACAATGAGTATTTTGAATTAGGTTTCACTTTAAACTGTTACTGACATAGTATCAAAAAGCAGAACTAGGGGCTGGGGCTGGGGCTCAGCAGTAGTGCACTTGCCTGGCATGTGTGAGGCACTGGGTTTGATTCTCAGCACCACATATAAATAAATAAAATAAAGGTCTCTCAACAACTAAAAATTAAAAAGAAAAGATTTGTGTTTTCAATATTGCTTGAATCCATCCACTTCCTCCCTTTCTCTAAATCCACCAGTCCAAGACACATCATCTCTCAACTAGACTAGTATGAAATTTAACTGCCTCCCTAACTCCCCCTGTGCCTTCTTCCACTCAGGAACCCCACCCATCTACTTTCCACAGAGATCTTTTTAAAAATCAAACAAGGTCTGTTTTGCTGGGTGCTCAAAACTTTAAGTGGAATAAAATTCAAGATTCATGATATTCAAGATCCTGAGGCCCTGCATGACCCTGCCTTCCTCTCTGCCTCTCCTTCCACAGCATCCTCTTCAAGCTCACAGTGCTTCTGCCACACTGGCTGCCTTTTTTTCCCCCCACAGATGATGCATAGATCTCTTTCCTTTTCTAATGTCTCTGAATTAGCCATTCTTCACTTTTCTCCTATTTCATTTCAACTTTTTATTCATGCCTCAGGCTAAATATCAATTTATGAAAAGGCCTTTTCTCACTTCCAAATCTCCTTCAGCCCAAACTCTGTACTTTATAAAATATAACACCTACATTCTTTAATAATGAATTTAATTTTTTATTTTTAATAACTGTTTGATTCTTTGTGCCTTTATTTTTGCAATTAACACATGGTTATAAGTCCCTAGAGGAAGGGGTTTTGGACACCTTGTTCTTCATATTCCAGGTGCTCAATAAATTGTTTACAGTCATTAGCAAGTGAATAAAAGTAACTGACAAAACACAAAGAGTCTACACAGTGAGGCAACTGGTCTCTCTATCCAAATCAGGGTTGAAAATGTTAAATACACTGGAACTATCGCTTCTTTGTGAAAATGTTAGAGATCTTTCATGAGGGCCTGGGTTCCACTCCCACAGTCCTCATTTTTTTAAATCCATGGATGAAAAAGGGTGAACAGGATCTTAAAGACCTTTTAAAGGTTTAAAATACATTCAAATGCCACCTTAAATCATAATTTATACATACATTTTAACTGAGTTACTTTGGTAAACTGACAGTGTCACATTTTATAGACATTTAATTAAGCACATTTATTTTGGTTCTACATTTTTTTCCCTGTATTTTTGAGGCATTGTATAACTTATTTCAGGACTCAGACATTTTCACTGGTTTCTGAAAGGAAGTTGTGCCTTCAAAGTCTTGTAAGTAAAAAGTACATAAATACTATTAATAATTTGCCTATGGTGAAAGATTTCTGGGGAAGTTTAGGCAAAGGTAAGCATACAAGTGTATGTTAATATATATATGTGTATGTACTATGAAGTAGGGGCCAGCCTTATAACTAGCCAGCTGGCCAGCATCTAACCAGTGGGTAAGTTAACTATGGATTTATATGTTTTAAAATACATACAGTCTTTAGTTTGTTCTTAAGATGCAAAAACCATTACCTCCTATCTACTGTTCCCTTGCATAAGAGAAACAGAAATGAATATGACATAGGCCCCACCATTAGGTAAATCAGTTTGAAGAGAGAAGAAATGACAGAATACTTCACCTACATTCAGTAGTTTTATTGTTAATAACTATTTGATTCTTTGTGCCTTTATTTTTTTGCAATTATTTTCTTTATATTGTAAGTTAAAGCAAATAAGTAAAATTATAAATTATAAACCACTTCCAGAGATCAGGAGTGCTAGAATGGTGGTGTAAAGAACTCAAAGAATCCCTCCCTCAAAGGCATATTGATTGAACTCATCAAAATAAGCTAAGACAACAATTTAAAACCTCTGAAATTTGACCTAAGGGTTTGCAAGAAATGGAGAAGCATTTATTCAGTGAGAGACTGTGGCATTTGAATCATGAACTGCATCCATTACCCCTAGAGCTCCATGTTGCCCAAGAACTGTTTCAGGCAGGTTTGATAGTTTTCTATTGCTCAAGATCTACTCTAGGTGGGCAGGATAGCCCTAGAAAACAGTAGCACTCATCCACCTGCTCTTGGTTTAGTATGCTGGAAAAGTTTTACCAGGTGGGCAGCTGCAGCTGCTTGGTAGTACCTATTCCCACTCCCAAATGTCCTGTTCTACAGGAAGAATTCTTGGCAGGGCAAACAAGAAAGTTCCTGCTCAGTAACGGAGAAGGCTGGAGGCTGGGCACGTTGTGAATATTAACAGCTCTGCAGCCCTACCTTTGGTTTTATTAGGAACATAGTTTACAATATCCATGGACCAGAGCATTATCAAAAATAATAAATATAACAAGAGGTAAAAGAGGAAGCTAATATCTTTGTGATGTCAGTAAAGGCGGACCAGCAGAAATATAACAGAGAACTCAAGGAGAGAGATGGTCAAAAAAGCCCCACTAAAATTTACTCAATAATGGTGAACCAAGAAGCTATGGAAAAGCCAGAGGCATGACCAGAGAAGGTTTTCTACTCTACCAGTCCCTGTGTTAAAGTGAGGCAGATAGGTACACTCCCTGAACTTTCAGGGTGGTCCCCAAGCCACATGGAAAAGGATGAAAACCTTACAGGCTCAGGGAACTTAAGCACAACCCCTGACCAATCAGTACCTAGCCACTAGGCTATAGTAATCCAGCAGCAGCTCCCAGAAAGTCAAGCTTAAAAATAATAAGGAAAAAACATTTGAGCAGGAATATCAGAGACTGCATACTAGGGAAGAAACACAATTTACAGAATTAGTTTGGCCAAATGACTGAACAAGTGAACATATGAACAATAACAAAAGCAAAATGTCAATACAACAAACCTAGGAGGATCAGAATCCAGAGTTGTTACAATATATTGTAAACAATTTACAATTTTTAATAAAAATTTATAAGGCATGCAAAGAAACAAAGTATGATCTCCTACACAGAAAAAAATATAAAGAAACAGAAATTGCCTTGGGAGGATATGGATGTCAGATTTAACAGAGATTTCAAAGAACTTATTATAAATCATGTTTGAAGAATGAAAGCAGTATGATGACAATTTATCAAATAGAGAACATCAATAAACAGGAATTTTTAAAATGTTTAAATTGAAATTCATCAATTGAAAATTATAATAATTGAAAATTTCACTGGAGGAACTCAACAATAGATTTGAGCAGGCAAAAGAATTAGTGAACTTGAAGACAGATCAGTAGAGGTTATATCATTTGAAAAAAAAAAGAAAAAACATGAAAACCCATGAGCAGATCCTTCCAGAAGTCAAGGACACCATAAGGTCCACCGGTTATGTAGAATGGAAGAACTGTTGAGAAAGAGGACAGAAGATACTTGAATAAAAACTTTTCAAATGATGAAAAACTTTTCAAGTGATGAAAAACATTAATCTATATATCTAAGAACTCAACGAGTTCCAAATAGGGATATAACTCAATGAATATCTGAATAGGATAAAAAAGAAGATATTTACACCCAGACCCATCACAGTGATACTATTGAAAGTAAAGATTAAAATCTTGAAATCAAGAAAAACAAAAATGAACAGGAAACAACACCCCCAAAAAACAAAACAAAAAAACAGGAACTAAAACAAAACAAAACAAAACAAAAACAGTCCATTATTTACAAGGAAATCAGTTTAAGAATAATAGGTAACTTTTTGTCCAAAACAATGGAGGGTGGGAAGCAGATGGATGACATACTCAGAATGAAAGATAAAAACAAAAATTGTCAATCAAGAATCTATACATCAAAAGTATTCTCAAAAGTAAAGAAGAAATAAAGACATTCTAGGACAAACCACAGTGGAGAGAATCATTGCTGACAGATTTGCCTTGTAAGAAATATTAAAGCAAGTTCTTTAGGCTGAAAGTAAGTCACATCAGATAATACGTCAAATCTACATGAAAAAGAGTGTATCCAAGCAAATTTCAAGTACATGCTTACACAAAAACTTGGAATCACTTAAAATAATAAAAAAGGAAACAAGCTAAAAGCCCATCAATTTATGAAGGGACAAATGAAACGTTGTATATCCACACAAAAGAACATTATTCTGCCATAAAAGAGAATGGAGTCTTGATACCTGCTACAACGTGACTGAACCTTGAAATCATTATATGTTAATGAAAAGAGGTCATTCACAAAAGGCCACATATAG